AGAAGAAGAAGAAGAAGAAGAAGAAGAAGAAGAAGAAGCGAAGGAGAAGGAGAAGAAGAAGAAAAAGCGAGGGAGGAGGAGAAGAAGAAGAAGAAGAAGAAGAAGAAGAAGAAGAAGAAGAAGATCTCTCTCTCTCTCTCTCGTACTAACACACTCACCATGGCGTGCGTTGGGGGGCGTCGGCGGGCAGCGCGATGGCGTTCAGGGGGCGTCGACTGTGTTGGCGGGCACACGGTTCGAAGGCAACGACGAATGCAGCAGTTGGCCGAAGTGAGGCGTTGGGCGTGGGGTTCGAAGGCAACAACGAACGAGTCAGCCGAAGTGAGGCGGGAAACTAGAAGCAGCTTGGAGAAAAAAAAAGGCCGGTACGCCCGATTTGAACTATTTCAAATCGCGGCCCATCTGGGCCAAGATCGACGGCGCAGATGGGCAGCGATTTGAAATAGTTCAAATCGGGCCTACCGGCCCTTTTTTTTTTTTTTTTTTTCATACACGGCCTCCTTTGGGGGGGAGAAGGGCCCCGCGACGAAAAAAAAAAAAAAAAAAAAAACCTCGATGATGCGCTGGGGTCAACCGGTGGCCAACCGGGCGGAACGACCGGCCAGGCGGCCCGGCCCCCCGCCCGGGCGATGAGCCGGCTGCCGGGCGGCCCGGAGTTCAGCCTAGAAAAATGTTAAAAAAAAATAAAACCATTTTGACCGCAAAATAAATCGCAGGGGCAATTCAACACATTTTCCAATTTTGCCACTCTGCCAGTTCCCCCCACTGTGCTACCGGTAGCCCTCATGGACCTGTGCCACTGGTCCCCCCTAATTTATGACGGCGGGGGTAGTGGTGGTTTAACTCAGTTCAAATCAAATGCGCACAGACAAGGCCTGGGTCGTAACTTTTGGTCAAAGTTGTGATTCAGGGGTCGAATGTCGCGTCCCTAGTCCTAGTTCAGTCTCCAAGGATGAAGGGGGTATAAGGCCCTGAGTCAAAATCTGTGTCCTTCAGAAACCCCTGCGTGATACGCTTGACCCTTGGAAATTCAGACCCAACATGGGAAAAGAAGGCCTGAAGTCAAAGTCTTCCCAGGTGAAACTTGGGACCCATTAGTTAACTGCGGCCGTAGATCAGATGCACAACAAATGCTGCCTGCAGGATTGCAGAAGATTCCGGTGCCGACTGGGACACGGCACATTTAGGTCAGCAGCGCATCCAGGGTTAGTCGACATCTGAAAAATCTGGGCTGTCGACGAAGTCAAGAGGAGGCTGGTCAATGCCGGTCAACGCTATTAGAGAATGGCCCCTCCCTGGGGAGGGAGGCGCCATTCTGTGTTGCACTTTCTGCTGGTGTGAGGCTGGCAGCAGAAAGAGGAGAAGAGCTCCAGCCAGGAAGACGATGGTGTGGGATGGAGCCATAACTAGGATCAGGCTGCCGCCATAGCTGTGTGAGGACAATGGGCGAGGAGGTGGGCGATCAGGACTGCGAGACCTCGTGGAGGAGAGTGAGCGGGAAGTTTACCTTGTGTATAGCGGACATGACAACACACACACACGCATCGAGTCATGTAAGTCCGACGAAACAGTCTGGCACAGTCATGCCTTTGTTCTGGAGTTGTGTGTAGTGGACATGACAACACACACACATGAGTCATATCCAGGTGCAGGTGCCGGTGCAGATTTCAGAAGAGGAGATTCTCAGTTCAGACTTCAAAGTTTGAATTCAGCAACTTAGAGAATAACGTCTGGGGCACCAATAGATGGAGTCTCTCTTAGGGGCTAGGGGTGATTGCTCTTATCTACACCCCTAGCACCCCAAGGGATGTTGAAAAAAAAAAGAAAAAAAAAACCAGGGAGATATCCTGGGCACCCAGTTCCCGACGTCACGCCCGGTTTGGCGACCGGGTGACCGCCCGGGCATGATCCCTGGGCATGGGCCCGGGCAGCGCCAGCGCAAAAAGAAAACAAAAAAAATCCAAAAAATGATGTTTAAAAATCTGATTTTTGTTTTTTGTGTAGAATTGCAAATTTGCAATAGAAATAACTTTTGGCTGAGGGTCACATCAAAATTCCTCACGGAACTGAAGATAAAAAAACAAATAACCAAATCACACTATGGCACCCCCCTTTAAACCCCTTTAGCCCTTTTAAAATTCATTTATACTCACCTTATCCCCCCTTGACAGCCAACTCTCAAAAAAAGAAAAGAACCCGGATTTGGGCTCCTCTTGGAGAGTGCAGAAAAAAACCACTGCCATTTTTTTTTTTTTTTTTTCCCATGGCCGGGTATCCAGGGCTTCTGTTACATCTTCGACGCCACACGGGTCCTACCGGACCCGACGTAGAGGTAGAGGGACACAGTAGGGCCAAAGGCCCGACCTTGGGGGGTACTACAGGCCGTAAAGGCCTTACCTTGGACCAGACCCGACGGGCAGGCCCAAACGATATTACCGTTTGGGCCTGGCGGCGCTCTTGAGGCTGCCGCCCGCCGGTTGGGGCTGAACCGTCCATCTGGACGGTTCAGGGCACGGTCAGGCCTCGCAGCATAGAGGCCGACCTCTGCCCGCCGGTACAAAAGTACCGGTCCAGCCTCATTGAGGCTATCGACCCACCGGCATTGTACCAGTGCGGTATGGTACAGCGCACATTAGCGCTGGCGCTATGTTTAGCGCAGGAGCAGCGAGGAGCAGCGCAGCGCAGCATAGCGCAGCAGCAGCGAGCGGAGCAGCAGCAGTGGTGACTGAGTGTACTGGCGGCCATAGCCGCCTGAGGTATCGGGAGTTGGAGGTCTCTCCTCCCTCCCCTCGTAGGTCCCCTCTCTCTCTCTCTCCTCCTCTGCTCCCTTCTTCTTCTTCTTCTTCTTCTTCTTCTTCTTCTTCTCTTCAGACTTCTTCTTCTTCTTCTTCTTCTTCTTCTTCTTCTCTTCTTCTTGTTCTTCTTCAGATTGGAGACTTATACTAGTTGGACAGAGATCAGGGTTGGACTTCGGTGGTAAGAGGCTGTGGTACTTACCGGGTTCGAGACTTGGAGATTGTTGGGGATGATACTCGGCTGCATCACAGATTGGACACCGGTTACATTAGGACTCTGTATCTCCGACATTGGTGACTTATTGTTCTCGACATTTTGATCTTGCTCGATGACATTTTGGATACCATATCGGTGACCTACTGGTTTCTATCTCGGTGACATTTGGCGCATCTCCCCTCCTCCTTCGTCTCTCCTCCCACCTCTCATCTGTGTATGTGCGTACGAGGTCTGGGCATCGTCTATGCTTGGCCCAGACCCCACCATCTCACGATTGTATGTGTGTGGAGTGATATCTATGTGAGTCAGTCTATGTGAGTCAGTCCGTTTCTCAGACTTCCGCTGCATATATGCTCATCCTACATTGGTTGATCTTTGGTTCTGCCCATACTCATTGAGGTATGTAACAGTTTTGGTATCGGAGCAGACCATATAACGGATCTGCTCACAAAGGTAAGTCTGATTAGGAATTAGATTGTTCTTCAAACTTCCGAATCAGCTCTGTATTACTATTGAGTTCAAAGTTGCAAAATTTTTCTCTTTTCGGTATTCTGTTATTTCGGCATTTCCGTTTCAATTCGGTATTCGGACTTATCATTCGGATTTCCGTTTTTATTTCGGTAGGCTGTTTATTGGGATCCGATAATTGATACTAATCCAACATTCTGTTTGATTCGGATTTCTGATTAGGAATTCGTAATTAGGGTTTAATCAGTATTCTTTTATTTCGGTATTCTGATTTTAATCCTGTATTTCGTTTTCCAATCGGTATTTCCGTTTTATTGCAGTAGTGGAATTTAGGGTTACGAAAATTTTGTTTTTTTCGCTTAACTTGGGAAATTCGAACGTTTTGGGAACCGTAAATCCGGAAATTCCGCCGAAACGCGGAAAATTAGGGTTGGGCCCGAAATTTTCGCGATTTTTTTTTTTTTCCTTTCCTTTGTTTTGAGAAATTCCGAAAACGGGTTTAGGCCGTTAAAAATCGGATTTTGACGGTGGAAACACCCGAAAATTCACGTTTTTGAAAATTCGGATGTTTTCCCTGACTTTTTTCCGAAAATTTTTGTTGGCAAACTAATCCGAATCTGACCCTCAAAGTTGCAACTTCCGGGAAGTTCACTCATTAACGGTGAACTCCCGGACTAAAGATGATCTCAACGGATACCTAATCTTGATACAATTCAAATTCGTTTCGTTATCATTATTACAAATATTGTTTATGGATTATCATTACTAAATTTTATTGCAAACATTGTGTTATTGATTATCATTAAGAATTATTATTTCGTTATTTATCATTAATTAACTTTATTGATTAAATAATTCGTTATTATTCTTCTTATTACGAATTTTTTTTGAATTGTTTACGGGAAATTTACTTTTCTGTTTTGATTAGGTGTCTACAGTCCATCAGTGGGACAGGGGACTGTATGCGTATTGTTTAATTGTTCTACCCCTGTTCCCACTCTCCCTACCCTCCCCGTACTCTGTGACCACCGGGTTTTCTCAAGTACCACATCAGCTAGCACTGATGTCGACGGAACAAGACACCGGGGCACTGCCACGACGCAGTGCCAGGCTTGCAGTTCGTACCCGCCCTGCGGTACCTCCAAGACCCAAGCGACTCAGCAAGCGGAAGACTCCAGCAGCATCAAGTACAGCAATAACAGTACCGGTCACCACCGGAGTTCTTCCCGCATGCCCGGTCCAAGGGGCCGGCGAGCCGTTGGCAGCTTACCTTCAGCGGGTACAGGCATTCACTGATGCCGTAGCTACCGCTAAGGCACAAGAGGAAGCAGCAGAGGCGGAACGTCAGCGGCTGGCCAGTGAGGCGGCAGCCCAAGCTCAGCAGACTGCTGAGGCTGACGCCGTGGTGCAAGATAAGCGGAACGCCATTTGCATGGAGTCCCTGACTATGAATGAGAGTCAATGGAGGACAATGCTCCAAGGCATGCTGTTTGTGCCTTCGGAAGCACAGGCGGATCCGACAACGGCGGAGGAAGAAAGGAGCAACCTGGCGAATCTGATGTTGAACATGATGCGGGCGATTATGTGGAACAATGCGATGTTAATGGTGCAAATACACGAGGGCAGACAGTTGCGACAGATTCAGCAGAATGATTCTGCAGCCTTAACAGCTGCTATTCGCGCTGCCGCCACACATCAGCAACTACAGCAACAGCTGTTGAACACCACCACCGCACGCGTCAACAACATCGAGGCTAAGACCTCAGCAGCGCCAGGCTGCACGACAGACGAGACAAAGCAGCTCAATGGGCGCATCGATCACGTCGTCAAACTCATCGGCGACATAGGTGTTTTCAATGGGTCGGACACGATCAGTAGCACGGTGGCCGCCATCAAGACGGACATCACCAAGCTGCAGACGAGACCGGACGCCGCTACGAAGACTTACAAGATGCCGCACTTTGACATCAGCAAGTTCGGCGACTACAACAAGTCGGACGCCTTGACATGGTGGCAACGTTTCCTCACGGAGGCATCATGCCGCACTGTCCCGGCGGACGACATGATGAAGGCGCTCTACTTACAACTGATTGGAGGAGCGCAGGCTTGGATGAACCATCTGACGGCTACAAACAACTGCACCATCGCCGAACTCCACACGCACATCACGTGGAAGGAGTTCGAGAAGCTATGGTTCACCCGGTTCATGGTCCGCAACGTCGTGAAGGCGGCCATGAACGAGGTGTACACCTGCTCTCAAGGGAATATGCCAACTCGAGACTGGACAACCAAGTGGCAGAAGATAGCGACCACGCCAAGCTTCGATTTGAGTTTTACCAATCAACGATCCGGGTTCTTCTCGCGATCATGCGCAGGACTGCGAACCGCACTCGGCAACGAGTACGATTACGCCTCATTCCAGGCTATCCTCGATTGTGCGAACTTGGTCATCCAAACGGACGACAAGGCCGGAAACGAACGGCAGTCCCAGCCGCATTATGTGGCTAAGCCGGCCTATCAACGACCAGCACATAACAATGCTGTGATTTCTGAAGAAACAGTCGATCTCCACGCTGCAGCAACATCCTCGAGTGATGGAGGAATTGTAGCAGCGCTCCCGCCGAAGCGTCCCAAGAGAGTTCGGAAGAACAAGGCGACACAAGAGACGGCATCGACGGGAACTGGGCAGCAGCCATGGACGGCTTACAAGATAACCAAGGATGTCGATGACCTTCGTCAAAAGTACGCATACTGCCTATGGTGCAATAGTGTAGTACACACTACTGCACAATGCCCGGACAAGGGCAAGGCACGCGTACCCCGTCCAGCCAACTCGGGAAACTGAGTTACGCAAGGAGAGGGGCGACGTCTCTCCTCACTCCGCCGGACYCGGTTGCCTTGCTAGCAATCGATGTCACTACCGGGGAGCATGCGTTAGTCGCTGATTCTCGTACTACGTACGAGGATTATGCCGCCCAGTTGGTACCACCACTAGACCAGCCGAGCCACGTGCACTTAGATTGCGTATGCGCAGCCTGTACACCGTCGGCTAGTGATCCGGTCAGTTCGCCACTGATTTCTGAGGACTCGACGGCGTGGTCAAGACTAGAGGAGCTTGACCCGCTCACGAAAGAGGACTTCGCTTGGATGCCTCTACCCTCAACCGGAACCTTGCCAAGGCCGCATTGCAATGCCTTAATGGCAAATCTACGCTCCTATTTGCACACTACAGTACCAACTCCGTTGACAGACGACGGGGTAGCGGTTGTCGATCTCCGCTCCTATCTTGCGAAGATTGACCGCGAGTACGCTGCCCAAAGGTACGCCGAAACCGACGCACCTTTGCTCTATATCCGCATTCAAATCGGAAAGGCAACCTATAGTGCCTTGATTGATTGTGGAGCGTCTCGCAACTTCATGAGCCAAGCCTTTATGGCTCGCGCAGGTCTTGGCCCGCGCGTTCGAAGGAAGACGCAACCCACGTAAGTTACACTCGCGGACGACCGCACGCAAAAGTCAATTGACCGATGCGTCGACGACGTCCCTGTATACTTTGCGCCACTTGCGTGGGAGCCGGTGTCTTTTGACATCCTCGACACCAAGTTCGACATGATTCTAGGCATGTCTTGGTTGCGTAGCGCCGATCACCCGGTGAACTTCCACGACCGAACCGTTCACATCCGTGATCGGAACGGAGTGTTAGTCCCATGTACGGTCGCGACCCCTCACACTTCGATTGCTTGTCACGTGGTTTTCGTTGTGAGAATTCGCGACGCCATTGCTCGGAATGACGTCGAGAGATGGGCCTTGTATTCTTGCATGCTCTCCCCTCGCCGGCCGGACCAGCCGCGTCACCGCTGGACCCACGCATTTCCCACCTCTTGGACGAATATAGAGACGTCTTCGAGGCTCCCACCGGAACGGTTCCGGATCGGCCCATACGTCACGGGATCACTCTCGAGGCTGGCGCCGTCCCTCCGCGTGGATGTATCTACCGCATGAGCGAAGAGGAACTCGAGGTGCTTCCCGCACAACTCGATGACATTCTCGACAAGGGCTGGATTCGCCCTAGTTGCTCGCCATACGGTTTCCCTGTTCTCTTCGTCCGGAAGAAGAACAAAGATCTACGGTTATGCATCGACTATCGCAAACTTAACGCACAAACCGCAAAGAACGCCGGCCCTCTCCCTCGGATTGATGATCTTCTTGAGCGGTTACGCGGCGCGACGTACTTCTCGAAGTTGGACTTGAAATCGGGCTACCACCAGATTGAAATCCAGCCTCAAGATCGGTACAAGACCGCGTTCAAGACGCGGTACGGACATTTTGAGTGGGTTGTCATGTCCGTTGGCCTCACCAATGCCCCCGCAACTTTTCAAGCAGCTATGACGACTGAGTTTCGCGACTTGCTCGATCGCAGCGTCCTCATCTACCTCGATGACATCTTGGTCTATAGTAGGACGTTGGACGAGCACATCACACACCTTCGCGCTGTTTTGAATCGTTTGCGACTGGCCAAGTACAAAGCGAACCGCAACAAGTGCGAGTTCGCCAAGCAAGAGCTTGAGTATTTGGGCCACTATGTTACGCCGAAAGGCATTCGTCCCTTAGCGGACAAGATCCAAGCCATCGTGGATTGGCCGGAACCCCGTTGCACGACGGATGTACGCTCTTTCATGGGTTTGGCTGGATACTATCAGCGATTTGTCGAGTCATACTCGAAAGTGGCATCTTCTTTGTCGAGACTTCAGTCCCCGAAGGTGCCCTTCGAGTTCGACGACGCAGCCCGTGGCGCGTTCACTACGTTGAAGGCAGCGATGCAAGCCGCACGTGCCCTCCGTATATACGACCCCACCCTTCCCACCCAAGTGACTACGGACGCTTCGGGATACGGTATTGGTGCGGTGTTGGAACAGTGTCACGAGGACGGTTGGCATCCGATCGAGTACTTCTCCCAAAAGGTGCCTCTTGTCAACACTCTCGACGACGTTAGGAAGAAAGCGCTACTCGCGTTCGCCACCGTTCTCAAACGGTGGCGCCACTTTCTTCTCGGCCGTCGGCGTTTTAAGTGGAATACGGACAACAATCCGTTGACCTTTTACAAAACGCAGAACACGGTCACTAGCACGATCGGTCGATGGATGTATTACATCGACCAGTTCGATTTTGATCCGTGCCACATTCCCGGTCTCGCCAATCGAGCTGCGGACGCCCTCTCACGACGGCCCGACTTTTGTGCCATTGTGACCACG